CCTTCTTCCTGAATATATGGCACAGCTCAGCTTGTTCGTACTTGTTGTGCCTGCATTTTCTGATCCGTCTCTTCTTCTGCCCAGTGACACATGGAAGCTTTTCACAGAATCAAATCAACAGCCTGAGATAATTCAGTGTGACAATGTAACAATTGTGTTAGTGTGATTTTATGTGGGGATATTTCTATCGTTCACACGTATCTCATGAAGGCTGCGACGGGGAAATTGGGTGAAAGTTCAGGACAGCCGCCAATCAGGCCGCGTTGAGGGGGGAAATGAATGAGGTCAAATCAAATATTGCTTCCCCTCTGCCGACAGGTAGCGGCGGCACATTTCTGCACAGGTGCCTTCAGTAGTTGCGTGATTCATTTCAAACTGGCAGCCCATTTTAAACATGCAGTCTACATGCCACATCTCCCCTACATAACCAATTTATCAAGCCTAACCCGGCGGTACGTGCATATACTCCCATATCACAGAGAAGGCTGGAAAGCAACTGTCATAGATGGCATGATTGAATTGTTCCCTTGCACTGTCACCAGAGGGGCTATTACTTCAAATTAGCATACAAATTCAAACCAGGACAGATGGATTTGTCACATTCCAGTCGCCATCTTCCTGGAAGATTGGCTGTGCTTGTGCTGTGTGATGGAGATAAGACACCTGTCTCGGCTCCGATTGGTGGCTGCGTCGGTGGTGGGGGGGAAGGACCGGCGTGGGATGGGAGGAGGACTATGCAGGGGGATGGATTTCCTGAAACGCTGAGGTGTTGTGCAATAAACTTCCCTACCCACGGTCTCAAATGATGATGAGGCACCATACTGGACTCTGTGGGCGGTAGGAGATTGAGCTGTAGCGAGGTGGTGATTCACACTGTTTGGAAACACGCTGAACAATACCTGTCTGGTATTTGTTTGTGTTTGCTACTTTTGTTGAGTTACTGTCAAAGAGCCACATATAATGGCGTCTAACTTCAGCCCAGGGTGCAAGGATGGGTGTGTTATGAACAGCTGCGGGAGGAAATGTACAGTATATATCCTTGACCTCAGAGAAGTTTTTAGCCTGAGCAGTGAAACAAAAGATAAACTACAAATCTCACTCCAGCTCTGTCTGAATTTTAATCATATCCACTGATTCCTGTGAAGCCATTACAGACATAGTGTATGATTAAAGGGACAGTTGCACCCAAAATCAAAAACTGCATATTCTTTATCTTACCTGTAGTGCTATGTTACAGGTTAGATTGTTTTGGTGTGAGTTGCAGAGTGTTGGAGATATCGGCTGCAGAGATGTAGAATATAATGGAACTAGATGGCACTCGGCGTGTGGTGCTCAAAGCGCCAAAAAATACATGTGAAAAACTTGACAGAAATGTCTCTTTCCGGAAATCATGACCCAGTTACTCAAGATAATCCACAGACCTTGTTGTGAGCAGTTTCATGTAGGAACTACTTTATTTCTACCGAACTACACCCACAAACTGTATCACTATGCGGATGAAGCTAGCTCACCTAGCACCACTGAGCTAGCTAACGTTACAGCTCAGCCAAGGAGCCAGAAATATCACCCTCTGACTGTATCACCGCGCAGAAGGAAGTGTACATCTACTCATGAATGAGTAGAATGTGACAGTGTAAGATGTTAACATTAATGGCTGAGCTGTAAGATTAGCTACCTCAGTGGTGCTAGGTGAGCTAGCAGTAGATCTGCGCTTCCCCCTGTGCGGTGATAAGGTTGGTGGTGCCATCTAGCTCCATTAGATTCGAGAGAGGACAGACATTTCTACGGCTGATATCTCCAATACTCAACAACGAAAACAATATGGCTTGATAAGTAGCGCTACAGGTAAGAGGAAACAAATGTATGTCCCTTTAAGCACAAGAAGTAGGACCACATGCACCCTCCTATCAGACACTCACAAAATGCAACTTGGAGACATTATGATTTTCACTTATAATTATGGCAGTGTGAATCAATGGGAAGTATTGAGCATGAAAAACTGTTCTTACCTCAGGATCAATTCCATATAATTTCCAGATCAGCTCAAACTAATGGGTTTTCTATTGGCTTCACTTTGGAGAGAGAGACTAATCTCTCCGGCACCATTTTGTGGTTCTGTGTACATTCCCAAGCAAAAGGCCATCCACTTAAAAACCTGTCTCCCAACAGTCCAAAAATATTAAAGCACACATGCTAATTTCCTGACTTAGCATATTGCACAATCTGCGGGCTTAATTTAAAAACTCCCTTAGCAGGTTTAGTATCTCTGCCTGCCTACTTCCAGACACTACAGAGATTGTGAAAAATTGCTTACTGGTTCATTTCTGCTTCTATCCTCAGGTCAATGTTATGTATATTCCCTTACAGTTGATGTAAAGGCGAGATGCAGAACAGAGGAAGGCGAGGTTATGCTATCATAAAGGCTACCTGAGCAAAAAAGACTGGATTAAAATTGCTTTTTAAAAGACAATATAAGAAACAAAATGGGGTCTTTGATTTGCTTTTGTCATAGTGGCCGAACAAAGTATAGCTCAAACTGAGTTATTGCTTTTTTTTATCCTTCCAGTCCTTCGACACAGAATAGTCTATCCATCTGGAGATGGAACAAGTAGAGATGAAACAATTAATAGATTAATCAATTAACAGAAAATTAAATGACAACTGTTTTGATGATGAATTAATTTAGTCGCAAGTATAAATGTCAAACAGTTGCCAGATATATCTTATTAAATGTAAAAATGGCTGTTTTTATTTTATTCACATAGTAAACTGAATATCTATGGGTTTTGGACTATTGGTCCAACCAAACAAGACGATTAAATTTCTTTGGGATTTCTGACATTTTATCAACCAAATGATTTAAAGAGTACACCACTGATTTAGTACTGCACTCCTATAACTGTATCAGCCGCACAATGGACAGTTAAGATCAAAATCAATGCAGCACAACCAGAGATACCGCCTCTTTTCATTCATGCATTCTTCTTCCTTGTCAAAACTTGGTGCATATATTACCCATAATGGCACAAAACCACCAACAGATTGATGGATGATTCGGTTGGGTTATGCTAGTAGCGGGTAATATAGCCTCAAGCCGCTAGCCTTAAGCAGACATGAGGAAAAGGTTGCAAATCGCTCACTTATTTCTAACTCTAACTTGTTGTGTTTTAATTTTTAAACTTGTAGTCCCAGACCCAAAACGATGCTGACTTAAGTGACATCACTTGAGGCGATATATCTGACTTTGTGTAGCTCTGATGGCAAAACTTTTTTTCACATCTAAATACTTCAATATGCAAAATCAGTGGAGGTCCCTTTTAATCAATTAATCCCAAAAATAATTGGTATATTAATCACTCATAAAATTAAGCGTTGGTTGCAGCCCTAGAAACAGGACCCATCCCAAAAAACTTACAATGTCCTTCTTTAAAAGGTCCAGTGTGAAGAATTTAGGGGAATTTATTGGCAGTAATGGAAAACAGTAAGTAGATATTTCACTGGTGTATAATCACCTGAAAATAGCTATCATTGCATTTCACCTTAGATTGAGTTGTTTGTATCTACAGAGGGAGCAGGTCCTTGTCCATAGAGTTCACCATGTTGCACCGCCATGTTTCTTCAGTAGCCCAGAACAGACAAACCTTACATTGGCTCTAAATAGGGCCATTTGCATGTTGGCGTTGGCCACCATAATTAGCCTCCATGACAAGCCCAACAGTTGAAAAAACACAGATTTTTAAAGTGAAGCTGCTTTATACAGTGTTTTTACTGGTGTAATCACCAAGTCAATTTGTTTTGGAGAGGAGGAGAGCTCTATGGATAATTCGGCTCCCGGTAAAAACATCCTTAACGTCTGAATCCTAAGTTATGAGACAAAAAAAGGTGAGCACACATTAGCAGGTGCTGGGCTAGCAGCCTGTTTGCAACGAGCCCAGCAGTGTCAGACAGACACAGATTTATAACGTTAACTGTGTTACTCAGTGGTTTTACTGGGCTTTAATCACTTGACTCCTGGTAAAAATCTCCTGAACAATGAGCACTGAAGAGATCCTAACCAGGAGCTCACGCTTAGCACACAAAAGAAGTTTCAGCTTTTTACCACTTTTAGTTAGATGATCACTCCTTCATAAGGACGCCCACGTTTTTGAAAATTTGTAATGCAGGCTTTCGATATTAGACTTGACAAAGCTCGTCCAGAGCCACGGAAGACGTTATACAATTGTTGTACAGTTGCTGCTGCTTGCTATACCTGTGGAAGAGTTAAGTGGCATGTTTCAGCTCTAAAAGCAGACTTAATAAAACAACAAAGCAAAGACTCAACACAGTAACCAGTCCTTAGGGGAGGTAGGCCCAAGATGCTCCCACCACAGCCCCCTGTATCTTCACAGGCCTCCGAGGAGTCCAGTTAACCAGACTCTTGATGGAATTCACGCTCCACCACTCACAGGCAGCTTGCCTTGTTTTAGTTGTTGACCCACAGAATGAGAGGGGAAAGCCTCCCAAGAAAGTTTGTCCGAGCTCATCCAACTTTCCTCGTTGCCATGGAACTTTTACAAGTCTGGTGCTGGACACTAACCTGACAGCCACGGTTTGACTTTAATAAAACTAAATGCACATTCAACTTATGTCACTGACCATTATTCCGGCTATTTTCTCATTCACTGTGGTGCTTAGAATTATTCATCTCCCAAATGCAAGCTTTACCTTCCACATTAGAGAGGCGCTGACACAAAGCAGTACAGCCAGAACAGGCTCCGGCACAGCAGGGATTTCACACTGATCTTCTTCCGAAACATTTGTAATTAACATTCCCCCTCACTCCAACTGTTTCTGAAGCTATCAATATCCCAGTAAGAAGATTTAACTTCCCTGAAGAGCCAGGAAACGAGCTGGATTTGGCAGGTCAAAACGTGCTTGCTCAGTTCATGTGTGTGTGCGAGGGTTAAGTGAAAAGTTTATGCGCAGATTATCCTGTTATTTTAATGCTGACACTGGAAAAATGTTTTATTACAAAGTCAATTTTATTAAGTTGAACAGCGACAGGAAATGTGACCAGAATGCCCCTCTTAGTATCTCCGTGACAGGAGAACAATACATTATGCCCGCATCAAAATACAGTATAAATTATATTTGATCAAAAGCTTCCATGGATTTATGCCGTTTCAGCAGCAGAAGCAAGACAACAGCCAAGAATCCTGGGCTGTGGCTTAATACGGATGTCTTAAAGAGGAATGTTGAAATGTACATGAGCTATCATGCTTTAAACAGAAATGGTTAATGACTAAATTCATTTACAGTCCATCTCTGGTAGTGCTTAACCCTCTGGGCTTTAAAAAATGACCCACAGTGGCCCTTAAAGGACACAATTCATCAGTCATCATGAAAATACATTACACACAATGAGACAAAAAATCAAAATGAGGTTGTTGTTGGTAAGAAAAAAACAAAACAGCTCAAATAAGTTCAGGTTTTACTTTGTACAGATGCCGAGGATGCTGTTGCAGCACATGCAAACCTTCTTAGTACTGAGTGTATTCCTTGGATGAGATTTTTGCAATGATACGCTCCAACTGTCTCTTCGCTTCACACTGGGGGAAGTTACTCATCTCATAGTACTGCGGGGCAATTTTCACCAGCCTAGGAAAGAAAGCGAGTAAACATTAGTCACAAAAATTGTCTTCAGTGTTTACATGTGGGAGAACACTGTTCTTCCATATTCACACGGTGACTGCCGGAGCCGGCTCTTCAAATTTGATACTTAATTGTAGAAGGTCACAAAGGAGGAGAAGAAACGCAGGTAGTCGGCTTGCCGCGGCACAAGTGTGAGCAAACAAGCCTGCGCTGGCGAGGCCGACATTTTATTCTTATTAGATCAAAGAAGTGTCATTTTATTGTTATCCGGTCTCTCTCTGTACACTGTAAAATATCAGGTACAATAACTAATCTGTACAGATCCAGGAAGCCAATGTGATGTGTGCCAAAATTACAAAATAAAATAATCACTTCCAACCACCTTTTGCAATGACCATTTCTTTATGATAATTATCTTTAAAACATTTAATTTCTATCACAAATGTAGCTGCCGACTGAAACTCACCACTCTGGTTTGATGTCAGTGCACGTGCGGATGTAATTCTTTGTGGTGAGCACAAACTCGTTGTAAAGCACCCACTCCGGCTTGTGATCCAGCACAGTGGAAGGGTGCAGCTGTACGACCTGGTTGTCCTTCACTGTCAGGTAATGGCCTGTGCGCTCCAGGTGAGCGACCTGTTCAAACCACAGGGAGAGGAGAGGGTCAGTGCCAGTGAAAACAACTCAGAAAGACAGAAAAAACAATCAACTATACACACTTTTTTTGCCCTCCTTTAATTCAACTACACAGACCAATCAAAATCTCATTAGTTAATTATTAATATTTCAATACAAAAGCTGCCTGACGCTGAAGACAAACTTGTTTGGAACTGGGCAGTGAGCGATTTTTCCCCACTCTGTAGATGCTGCAGTGGCTGGTGTGATTAACCAGGGCAATCAGTCTCAATAAAGGCCTTTCCCAACAAAGACATGATCTCACAAATGCTGTGAAAGCTCCAACATGAGCTGCAAATTTGTCTCCACGATAAAGGTTAATGTTGACAAATATTTAAATATTAACACCATAATTCAACTTGTCAGGTCGCTTGTTTCAGGTGGCCCCGAAAATGGCTTCTTGCGAAATGCCGTTTGTTTCCTTGAGCCGGGAGCAAATTGACTTCATTTCTGTTTTATGTGTTTAAAACAAAGCAGCTCTGTGTGTGTGTGTGTGTGTGTGTGTGTGTGTGTGTGTGTGTACTTTAAAGGCGGTTATCCATTACAATTAACATCTCAGCTGTATTTTTTCGCACACAAAAAAAACCACTTCTTTTTCAAATAATCAAACTCAACAAGAGCAAACTTCAATGAGCATCAGAGGAGCAGTGGAGCTGGATATAGAGGCTGCTTCTGCACAAATAACACACAAAGAAAACACAAACTGGGGCCGTTTAAAGTTAGAAGTCAGAGCTAGGCTGGCAAGTTCAAAACTTATACTTCCATAGCATAATACAAACACAATATGCTTCTGTTACCCTGTGTGGCACACATATTGTCCTGCCTAGCATGTACAGTTAAGGTCAAAATTATTAGCCCCCCTTATGAAATCAAATAGAACCCTTATCCTTCCAATGACATGGGTCATAACCTTAAGTGTTTATAGTTTGTGTGTGTCCTCAAGAACAAAGACAACATCTGCATAAGGTCAAATGAACATTTTTATTGGTTTGCTGAACTGAAACAAGAAAAAAGCAAAAAATGCAATGGTCATAATTATTAGCCCTCTGACAACTAATAGTCAATAGTGTAGCCTTTCTGATCCAAAACTGACAACAACTTCTTCTGGTAGTTTCTAACTAAGTTGGTACATGTCTCCTGAGGGATTTTAGCCCATTCTTCCTTGGCAAATTGTTCAAGATCATGCAAATTGCTTGGTCTCCGAGCATGGACCCGAACCTTGAGCTCCCTCCACAGATTCTCGATAGGATTGAGATCAGGGCTCTGAGAGGGCCACTCCAGAACCTTGATTTTGGTGTCTTTCAAAAAGTTTTTGACTAACTTTGATGTATGCTTCGGGTCATTGTCTTGTTGGAAGACCCAGCGACGACCTAACCCTAGACTGGCTGCAGATGTCTTGATGTTAGCCTTCAAAATACCCACATAATCCTCTTTTTTCATGGTTCCATGCACCCGAACAAGGTTTCCTGTCCCTGAAGCAGCAAAACAGCTTAAAAGTATCTGCCCAATTTTAACGTAACTAGCTAGCTGACGATAGCATCAGCCACAACCTGTTGCCATAGCAATATTAAACATTCGGGTATGGACTGATGGCAAGTAAATAGAAGGAAGAAACAACGTACTTTGTAAATGTAAATTAGATACGTTGTATTTTGCTCAAGATGATATGTGTAGTTAAGAAAATCTGTAGAAAATAATTAGTTTGATTTGATTAAATACCTTTTGATACATAATCATTTTTAATACTTTATTTGTCAACTGTAATAATTATATATTTGATAAGTTATACGATCTTTATATAGTTCTGTGATTGTTGCCATGTGTTATATATTGATCAGGGCCAAATAAGTTAGCCGTTCGCACCACTGAGTGGTCGTTGTTTATCCTGAGTCTGGTGTTATTCATCGGTGCAACACCTGAGTGAAGAGACCCCTAACCTGCATGAAGAAGCCAGTGACCAGCGCTCGGCGGATGTTGGTGTAGTAGTCTCTGCTGCTGAATTCGGTGCTCCGCCGTGGCAGGTTGAAGCGGTCCATGATCCTGGACAGCTGTTGCCGTACGTTGTCTGCTGACATTAGTGAGCGGTAGTTGACGAAATTGTCGTAGCACCACTGAGTGGAGTCGTGGTCTGTGTGAGACAAGGGCAGTGTTGCGTTAAAGACAAATGAAGAACTGCCTAGTGATACCCGTGTGCATGAAAGGGCCACTCACTTTGTTTGAAGGCGTGGTAGACGTTAAGCAGCGTCATGTGGTCCCCGTCTATGTGGGCAAAGCGCATCTTGGACTCGTCAGCCACCTTCTTAGCCTCCGTGGGTCGGACGAAGCACTGTGGGACTAAACAAGGTTGGTATAGGCCCCAACACAGCCGCCCATAGGGATAAGTTAAGCAAATCCCACAGAGAGGAACAAGGCCTCAGCTCAAGAGAGGCACAGAGCACTTCACAGGGCACACTGTATTGTGAAGTGTTTATGGTGGAAAAGGAGAGGAGGAGGGTCAGAGAGAAGGGGAGATGGATGGATTTCTCCCTCCTGATGCAGTACAGTATGGCTTTATACAAGATACAGCAAACATGACACCCATCCTATAGATGTGATACAGAAGCGAGATAAATCAGTGGTGAAGAGTTCATCCAGAGGACTCTTGTTCTGCCGTCTCCCCTCTGTGAACTTGCTTAATGTCAAACCTGCTTAACTGTGGCTTTAATGGGTAAAAGCTGTGTTTTTTTAAGCCTCATGGTTGGTTGCTGTGGCGGCACCATTCTCAGGTGTACTTTCGCTGCTTACTCTAATGAACTCAGCAGAAAAAAAGGAAGGAAAAAAAAAAACTGCCGTCCTGAAACACCTGCTTCAAGTGCACACCACGTCCAAACAGCTAGTTAAATCCATTTCCCCACTCTCAAAGACCCTCGCACTCCCTTCAAAGGCGTCAAGATTCATCTCAATGAGCAGCATTCTGCTTTGGCAAGCCCAAAGTGCAATTACTGCTGTAGCATGCTGGTGCTGCTCCAGCTACACCTATACATTTTGTACAGACATGTACAGTATTTCTCCCCCTTCCTCACAAATAATAGCTGACACCACTGACTTTATCCCCGACTTGCCTTGTAGTAAAGTTCAGTAGGTATAGACTGCACTTATTCTGAGAATTTCAACTTCTGGGGTCTATCTGTAATTCATATAGATTTCAAATTTGATCATGATTGCAAAACTAAAACAAAGAGAAGGGTCAAATGATGCAAATACATTAATACAAAGACAAAGAAGCTGCTCTGAATATTTCCTCTTAGCTCATTTCTGAGGTTTGGTCCATGAGCACAGGAAATGGAAAGAGTAGCAGCTCAGACCCACACACTCTGAGCATTACCTGACAACATGGCAGTGATGGAGAGGACCTCGTTCGAGCAGTTGAATTCACAGCTGGCGATGACCATCTTGGCCAGCTGGGGGTCCAGGGGGAACTCTGCCATCATGGAGCCCAGCTCCGTCAGGTCACCGTCGTCATTGAGCGCTGCCAGGTAGTTCAGCAACTCCAGGGCTCTCATCAGGGTCTCTGGGGCTGGAGAAGACAGAACGGGAGGGGATGGGCCATTAACAATTATGTTCCAAGCCCATGGGCAAAACACACACAGATGACGGTGATAGAACAATTTCCAAAAGTGTCATTTTCTTTTACTGCAGCAAAACTAGGGAAGAACAATTTGGAGCCTTTTCACACGCATGCATGTCAGGACTGATTTATACTCATGATAGCTGAGTATCTTTGAGTTTTAGATTGTTGGTCGGATAGATTGAAACATTTGAAGACGTGACCTTGGGCTCGGGGTTATTATAAAGCCATTTGATTGTTTTTTCGCCATGAGACAAGTTGAAATTTGCAGCTACTAAGTATGAGGAAACCTGATTTTTTCCAAAACTCATATATGAGTACTCATTAAAGACAGTAAAGGAGGAGATCTGCAACCTGAGCACCCAAACTTAAAAAAAAAGAGAAAGTCCTAGGGGAAAAAAGCTGATAAAACGAAGGAGCTCCAGCACCTGCTGTGCTCGGACCTTCAATAGAAGACAGATGTGTGTTAAGAAAAGACACAGACACTCAGACAAAGGGAGACTGTTTGGTGGCAATGAATATGCGGTCAGTCAAAATGAGAAGGCTCTCCATGTGTGATGACCAGAGTTACGCTAGACAGCAACTTAGCGCAGAAGTAATCATGGCAGAGCTCATTTTTCATCCTCCGCTCAGGCGATCCTAAACAACTAATGCAATTACAGGGGAACTTTCTACTTAATGCTTCAACACAAAAGGCTTCCACCGTTTGGTTAAAAGATTTTTCCTGCAGATGCAATTATTGACCTTTGGCTCCCGAGAGCTGACGCCTAATGACCAGTTGCATGTTAACTGAAAATTAGCTTCAAGCACGGGCTGCGGTGCTCATTCACTTTGATTTCTCTCAAGTGCTCCCAAAAAAATTCAATTTCAAACAGCAGGGAGCCATTTTTTTATGATTAACAAATATTGATTTGGGGCATCAAAGCTACTTTTAAAAAAAAAAAAAAAACACACACAATTGAGTGCTGGCCATATTACTTACCACACCAATGGCGTGTGTGGGGCTAGACAAAAGGTGAAAATCTGATTTCCAAGAACCGCTAGCATGATGAACCAGTGTGGAAATTCAATATATACACAAAGCAGCTCATCAGAAACTACGTATTGACTGCCTCAACGCACAAGAATCCGATATATTAACCAAGGGGCCAAATCAATGAGACGAAAGGCTAAAGGTACATTAAACCGCATTGGCTTCGAAAAGGTACTTCTTTGGAAATGTCACGAGGCAAATGAATACCACCCAGCCAAGTCCTTGTGTAAATCGCTACTGATTTCTTTTGGATTTTCCATTTGGTTGGCTGGCTCGTGCTGTCGCTCCTGTGTTTAGTGAGCCAGGATCGAGGTGGGCAAAGAGAGAAATAAACTACATATTTGAGCGTTCCAGAGTAAAGGAAAAATCAAGGTTCCCATTGAGCTCATGGACGAGCTGAAATGGAAAAAGCCGCCTTCTTTTGAGGCTGATATTGTTGATCAGGGAGACAATACAGAAATCAAATTCATCTGACTTTAAATTTAAATATCAAGGAACAACAAAACGAAACAAATGTCAGCATGGCATTACCACAATAAGCACTGTAGCCTCAAACCAGGGTGTTAAATTGTGGCAAATACAAGAATGTCCATCTGCCTATGGACAAAATTAAAAAATCAGTGTTTTTGACCAAAAACCTCAATATCGATATTGAATTTCTGCCTGGTGTTACGTGCAAAAACACAGCTGGTGGAGTGTATTTCAGGACTGGCAAATATTCGCACATAACAGCTGTGCTAATGCTTGTGCTAAGGCAATTAAAGCTAACGTTAGTGTTAACTTGGTTTGCAGTAAAGTACAACCAATAGCCAGAATCAAGTGACGATTAAAAAATTACTCGGAGTAGTTTGCTCAGAAGCAACTCTGTGAAACAGCTTACAGAAATCACTCACACAAATTTTAGATCTTACCATGTCATCCTATGGCTTCCCTCATTTTCCTCCGAGCCCTCTCATTCATGTTTTGCCTCTGTGCAGTATTGACGTTGAGTCTAGAGCTCTGAATGCCCACAGGCCGCAAAAATACATACGTCCTCCAATTCTGATTCTTGGTAACACCAGGAGAATCAACTAGAAGTTGAAAAATTCAACCTTTGGGAAAGCGCTAATGCAAAGATTTTGCCTATTTGCATTTGTAAGTATGTAAGTAATGCAGTGCATAACGCTTACTTTGTGTTCAGTGTTAACATAAGACGATACTTGGTCTCATACCACAACTGATATACTGCCCAGCCCTACCTACCTGTGTGTCCATTCAGGATTTAACACATGCCAGAAACCGATTAATAAAGTAAAAAAAAAAACAAAAAAAAAAAACCTTACATTCTCAAAAGTCGTGTAATACTTTTGTTTCATCCCTTATTTCTTGACTCTCCAGAGACTCTTCTCAGACCTGTCTATTTACTCTGAGGTGCGCCTTTGACACAGCGTATCAAAATTGATCCACTGTAACTAGATGCTATAAAGCTCATGTTCAGGAACTCTCAGAGACTCAAAGCAGACTTCATCGGTTGCACGGAAACTGGCTCTGGCTTCCACCGTGCTCAGGAGCTAGTTAGGAGAAACCTTCTGCCACGAGTGGATCAAATAAATAAAAGATAATCCTCCCCTTTCCCTTCACCCCACTGTTTCCAGTTAGACTCAGCCGACAAGGCCAATCCCATATGTTGACGCTTACCCTTGCGTTTTGTGAGAAATGTGGGGGTGGTGGTGGAGGTCAGTCACGTTTCACTGGAGGAATATAAAGGGAAGGCAATAGCCAAGGTGATAGCGCCGCTATTGATGTAACCAATTTCATTCTCAAAATGGCGTTTGCCACGGTGGACGGGGAGAGATGGGTTTAATCTCAGAGGTGAGATGAAAACTATATTATGGTGAGAAAAGGGGGGAGGGAGGGTGAGGTTAAGGATAGGGAAAGGAGGGGTGGTCTCTGCGGGAACACACACTCTCCTGGAGAATGCCATAACTTGGTGCCTCATTGAGACTCGGTCTGCTTTTTGGCCTAGATCCAGCATGATTCAGATGTACAAGAAATAAGAAATGCAAACAGCGACAGACACCAGAATGGACTGATCAGCCAGAATACTAACTACACACATCACTCTTCCTTTCTCACTTTGAACAGCATTAATCTAAACTTAAAGCAGACTGCTCATAAAAACTGCATAAGACTACTGTGTAATCCATGTCTGTCAGAGTGCTTACACTCAAATCTCCAAACATTCACTATGCAGCATTTGATATCTGCCAAGATCATTTTATCTTTGCTTTGTCGTTTTTCCTCAAGCTCCCAAGTGACACAGCCAACCCAGATTTAATATTGTACATGAAACAACGACAGTTCAACTAAATGTAGATTTTAAAGCATTTTGTAACTGCTCTTGTATTGATTCATATGTCACTGATCAAAATATCAATGCTATTTGATATTAAAGTTATAACGTTTCAGATTTTAGTCATGGTTAGTTTAGTGGTAGAGAGAGGCATTTTAAGAATGTATGGCTGTGGCTGAAAAAAAAAAAAAAAAAAAAAAAAGTCAAGTGTACCAAGTGTAGCACGATGCTGGTATATGACAGCAAAAAGACAGGGACCTTGACACTTAAGACATGAAGTTGTATCCGGTACTTACAAACAAACACACAAAAAAAAAACAGGTCACGATGTATTTTTTGCGTGTTGGCATCGACTTGGTACCGAAGTATCCGTTCTCATGACAACCCTAGATACTAGGGCTGCATGATACATCGTTTCAGCTTTAAAATGTGTAATTTTAAGCTCAGCAAATTCACTCAACACGTCATGCAAAAACATTTGCTGATTGATACAAAAGGAAAACTCGCAGTGGTCGCACTGCCAAGCCTTCCCATTTAAGAGAGGTTACAGGTGCATGGGACGTAGTCTGGCGTTGTTTTTTTGTACAAAGTAACTCTCCTGCACGTGTGTGTACAAAATTTCAATAACGGGGCCAGTGAGTGTCGCGAACACAGTGAATCTGACTGCTCTAGCTTCGGAAAAGCATGAGATTGACTGTGTCCGCAACACTCACCCTCACATGACCCTTTCTAGTTGATACTGGAACCTGAGGTGTTTTGTGTTTGCTGCACAGAAGAAATAAACGTTATAATGGCGTCTCCCAATCATTCTTCACCCAAGAGTTGCCATCTACGAGCTAGGCTAAAGCTAATTGACTTAGCCTGCAGAAGCCAGAGGTCTCCCAACTACGGTTTGGAGTTGCAAGTCTGGAAGGGGAGGAGCACAAGGGAGGCCCCGGATTTTAGGCGGCATGGTATGCAGTGGTTAGCATTGTCGCCTCACAGCAAGAGGGTTCAAGGTTCGAACTCTCTGTTTGCGCTTTCTCCTTGTGTCAGTGTGAGCTTCCTCCGGGTACTCCGGCTTCCCCCCCACAGTCCAAAGACATGGACGTGAATGTGAGCGTGAATGGTTGTCCGTCTCTATGTGTTAGCCCTGCGATAGTCAGGCGACCTGTCCAGGGTGTACCCTGCCTCTCGCCCAGTGTCAGCTGGGATAGGCCCCAGCCCCCCCGCGACCCCGAACAGGATAAGTGGTTACAGAAAATGAAATGAAATCATTGACTTCAGCCTGGCTTGATAGGAGAGCATTATATAAATACAATGATGTCATGGTGAGTCAACCAGTGTATGAAACTACTATATTTCCCCCTCTTCCACCTCAGAAAAATCTAAAGCTTTTATTATTATTATTATCATTTTATTCTCTCTGTGGATGCACTTGCCTTCAAAATTACAATAATAATTGCAAATACAGCTATTTATGTCATCTGGGGAAAGTTCCTGTATTTTTTCACAACACAATGTATATTGCAGAAGAAAAAAAATTGCAGTGTCAGTTTTTAACCAATGTCATGCAGCCCTAATAAACACGTGTCTTTCTAAGCCAAGTAGGTTAGTCATTTTTCATACTAACCTGGTGGGTCCATGAAGTCAAAGTGCACCAGGTCGTCAATACCCAGTTTCTTCAGCTGCAGCACCACAGAGCCCAGATTGGACCTCAGGATCTCTGGATACGTGTTGTCCTGTGCCAGGTAAGAGGTATGAGACAAACCCAAGGAACAATTCCAAATGAATTAGTCAGGGCACTTATTATCTCCTCATGCGTCGCTCATATGTCAACCTGAACAGAGCCCGGGAGTCTAGGGCATTTGAAGGGCTATTTAACTTGTTTAAAAAATTCCCTTTGCCACTCAGCGTGACGTGAAAGAATTAGCCTGTTAAAGTAGAGAACTAGGCCTCCTCGGGTTCATTTGTCACAAGGTGGCTGTTTCCTTAGCATGGGTTATGAGGACGGGTGGAGGCAGCAGTGTGGTTCAGCACTGAGCTCTTGGAATTATAAATCAGCTGAACTGGGAATCATGGATTCTAAGAGCAAATATTGCATAATAGAGAGCTTTTCCGGCTTGAGGGCTGCTATGGGGGAATACAAAGTGCTTGTGGCATTGAAGAATGTGAGAATCAAGTATCTCGTAGAATTTCGAACCATTTTCAGACTGTCTTGTTTCTTACCTGCATTTCTGTCTTGTAAGCTTTCTCTGTGTAAAGGCGGAAGCACTTTCCTGGGCGTGTTCGTCCAGCACGACCTGCCCTCTGCTGGGCCGAGGCCTTACTGATGGCTGTGACCAAAAGGGATTCCACTCTGATTCGTGGGTTATACACCTGATAGGAAAAGGGAAAGATGCATTTCAGGTAAATAAGAAAATCTGGGAGGCGAGTAGAGGTAAAAGAAAAAAAAAAGTAGTCAAGCATATACCCACAGCCACAATCTACTATGTATACAAACAGCTATACAAAAAATTAAACAATACCAAATACACACAATCCACCATAATGCATATATAATCTTTTTTTGTGCCAGGTGTATGACTTGGCTCCAGGCTGGTGAAATGTCAGAGGAATAAATAACTGGCTTTTCCATCTTTACTGCTGTCAGGTGTGCACTGCTGTGTTTATCTGGGGATTCTCAGGCAACAGACGCAGATGACTGCCACAGATAAAGAGTGGTAGGAGAACATGGAGGGGGATGGTGGGGAGAAGGAGGGAGCTAACCTTTTGCTTGGCAAATCCAGGATCGATTACAAACACCACGCCGTCAATGGTCAGGGATGTCTCAGCGATGTTTGTTGACACGACAACCTGTGGAAACGAGAATAGATGTGTTCAGAAATGATCCGCCTGGGTTGTTTGGAGGCACTGACAAGACCTCAGACTGGTACTAGTTATTATCAATTATTTAGGAAATCCATTCCAACAAGCAAACATTCAGCAACAACAACTTGGACATTTCAGGGATTAAGGTAGTTTCTTCTGTTGAATTATTAGAAAAGCAAATTGCACAACAAATTTTCAATCGTCATTCAAGTATTCAAAAGTGCTTTGTCCAATCACAAACTGTAGTGCTCTTCTACAGTGGAGCAGTTCACAAATCACAATCCTTCTCAAGCATGAGTAAGGAGAGAGACAAGTGCAAATATCAGCTTTGTTTTAACTTGAAAAATATTCCCTGATGTGAGCCAGTTGACTAAAGAAGCTTGTAGAGATGCCACTACAGTGCACTGCACACACGCTGCCTAATGCAACCCAACAGGGGAGTACCACAACAGTTTCTGCAATCAAGTTCAATGTGCTATCAACGTGTTTGTGGAGAGAGCTGGCTTGGTGCTCAGCGTCCCATCCAAATGCATTGCCTCTGGCCTCTTTGTTGTTATGTGAATGTGTGCGCGGGAGGTTGGGGGTTCTGTCCGCAGCATGTTACAGGGTTTTTGTTGAGATGTCAGCTTCCCTCTCTTGGAAAGTTTCTCCCCAGAGTTTTTTAAAATCACAGAAAATAGTTGATGTAATGGTTCCTCTTAGGTGGCCTGCTTTTTGCTCTACAATGGTTACTGCTTTTATCCAAGCGTCTTTTCTTCCCCCTAAATGAGGGCTGCGGTATTTCTCTCGTGAACCCAGCACGTCTCTCGAAATTTGGAACACTGCGGACATGCCAACTCTGCACGGCTCATTGTCGCTGATTGGCCGTTGCTGTGTGCTACACAATAATGGCTCCTCCAGAGCTGTGCTTCAACACAACGAGAGGCACAGCAAATGTTTGCATTGACTTCAGCTTGAAATATTTACAAAATCATTGACTACTGGAAAAATAATTACAGCATTTCAGTGGTAGACCAGCTATTATTTGTGACATGGGTTTTTAGATTTGACAGCAACCAGTTTATTCCCAACATCTGATTCAAAAAGAGGACTTTTATTCCAGCGTGTGGTACTGACATAGTAAATCTAAAAAAAATCTCTGCTTGTGCATATCCAGTCCACATAAATATATATAGTGTTACAATAAAAGACTAAATTTAGATTTGTTTGTGAGATGCACAGAAAAAGCACTGTGTTTTCCCTGTTGATGCCACCACATCACCAGTTGGAACTTCTTTCATTCATTTTGTTTTATAGAGCAACTGTGGACTCTGCACCAAGCTACAGAGCTGGAGTTACATCCATCTAACTTTTACTGTTGTCATTACTGCTACGAGTACTGTGGTCCAGACCTTTGAATCTGTCCACTTCACTGAGTTTGAGATGACTGATTCAGCTGGCACCATGATATGAAACAGGATTCTCAGGTAAAATAAAAACTAATCAATGAACGCCACAGTGGCACTTAATCAGCGCTACGGGCTGGGCTAACTCCATCGTCGTGATGTTGTCAAGTGGTGCACTGGAACCAAAGAGAAGTTAAAGTGACAACTGCGAGTGCTATAGGTCCGATAAACTACTGAGGCTGTTCGACATGTTTTCTCAATATTGCCCGACATTGTAGTTTGTTTTAACTTTGCTCCGCTCCACTCTTTAAAGACCGGCAAAACTGTTATGCTGGCATGGCTATCCATCAGTGTGGAGTTAAAATAACATCAGATTCAGATAGATACATTGTTCTGTAGTGGTTGGTTGGAGGAATCTGAATCCCCCTTCCTCACAGAAATGGGTCCAAGTCGAAGCAATTTCAGACTGAAGATGGAAACGCAGTGGACAAGCTGACAGTTCTGCCTGATATCAGGCAAGAATAAGAGAATATTGCAACTACTACAAGACGCAATCACTGAATTTACTTTTTTCATTCAGGCTCAGGTCCACCCCCTCCGTCAGACCCTTTCCAGTCCTGAACTTTGAGAAAGAAGTCAAAAATTGTGTACACCTGCTAGTGACGATCATCAGAATACCTTAACACCAGCACCAGGTTAACTGTACAGCTTTCAAAGTTAGGTAACATTATGTTCAGCAGCAAAGAATCATATCGAAATATTAGGCCATACTGTTTTCCTTAGCATTCTTGGTGTGGTCCTTTGGTCAATTATAAAGACGTGTTGAATCCTAATAACCACCTCACAATGTTGTTTCAAATGCGAGGCACGTCCTGTGCAAAATCTCCATTGTATGCTTCCTGCTCCGGGCGTAAGGAAACGTTTCAAATTTTAAAAGACGGTTTAAACATTTTAAAGCCAGCGAACAGATACTACTGCAGTTATGTTCATCTGAAAACTTAGAAGGAATGCAAGGTAGATGTTAATACAGGAGGAAGTTTATGGGACCAGTCTCAGCATGGTTATGGGGAGTTGATTTAAGCATCAGGGCAGAGAAATACTGCAAGAAGAGATGACATGTGGAGACAAACAAGTGAAATGAAAAGTTGCTTGGTTTCTGAGAATTAGGCAAGTGGGGAAACTGTGAACCTGCACCATCTCCCAGTCACAGATCTTTTTCTATTACAATTATCCCCTATAGCAAGGCTGTCTATGTGAAATGACAGCTGAATCTGAGGGAAAAAAAAAAATCAAATGAGTCACATCACCCTATGGGTCTCTTGCTGTCAGTATATACACAAACAGCGGGAGGAGGAAAGAGGGGAGGGGTGGAAGACAGATTTGCAGCTGCTCTCACGCGAACCTTGACCGCCGCTAGGGTGAGTTCCCCCCTTATATAATAGTTGAAACCGACTGGGCAGAGAAACCCTCAAGATTCATCATAGTGCTCGAGACTGTGGTGGCCAGATCACAGCCCACTCTATTGGCAACTAACACTCCACTGTCATAGTTTAATATGCAAGTGGGTGTTTGGAAAAATGCCTCTACACACTTCAATATCTTTTCCTTACTCACTTGCTCAACATCTACCAAGACAGCAACAAGCTGAAGGCTGACCTAAGCAGTCATTTGGTGGTGGCCGACCGTCTGCTTCCTTGGTAGTCCTCATGATGAAATGCCAAGCTCAAAACCAAACAGTTCTCTGTAGTCTTTGCTGATACAGGTCCACAGAACCAATTTTGCACACTTGACATACTTCCTTTGTAGCCGTGCCTCTTCAGCTGTCTTCAAGCTGTGAGCCTTACAGACTTTTTAAATCCCACCTTTTAAGCGAGGATTTCTCTCGAGCCTGAGAATGCCTGACTGTTTAGTTATTAATGCCAGGAAGGGCCTTTTCCCCCCCCTCATTCAGACCTTGACCTCGGGTAATTCACCTGTCGAAAGACACGTTCCCCTTAGTATTCAAGAGGAGGAATGAAGAGATGGCAATAAACGCCTGTATGAAACAGAACAGACAGCAGTATCTGGCAAATGCTTGGATTGTTGTTCGTGTATTTCTTGGATGAATGGCTGTCGAGATCTGATTGACATGAGCACTCCATGACAATTGTGAGTTGCTTAATTTTTGATAGACAACTGAAAATAATATGAGCTGTCGAAGTAATCTGCTTAGTGGGAATTGGGGCTGGGTATCACTTAAAAATTACAATACCAGTACCAATACCAGTACCCTTTGAGTGACACTGGTTCCAATAGAGTACTTCATATGATTTATTCTTTTCCCTACTACATTTGATGCCCGTCATGTTAATGGAAGCGTTGAGTTACAAGAAATGCCACAGGTGTGCAGTGTCTGGTGGCATTTTAGTGTAGTGTGGAAAATTTTGGTGGCATCTCGGCACAAAGAACTGCAAACTCTGTCAAATACACAGCCCTTGACTTCACCACGGCACAGATTGTGTAGGTTGTAGCTGCTGTGGTAGTGGGATAGTTGGGATAGGTAGATAGTAAGTTTTGAGACTACTTAGTAGTGGGCTACTTCGGTCAATACTTTAAAAAGGTACCGAATACCAACACCCGGCCCTAATGGGAATACACTGAGATCAACTGCTTGGTTCCAAGGTAGAAGGTGCACATATAGCCTGCGGTAGGAACTTGGTAGGAAAGGCGGACGAGTTCCTGGAGCAAAAATTCTAATAACTCTACATCCATAATTGGTCAAGCAAACATGTTAACACATCACAGCGAAGATGACTATTTATTGTATCGGCGATTGTTGGACCAACAACAGCTTACGCCAACGTCCTACGAAACAGCACATACACATTAGTAAGTAGATCCTGCTTTTGCCTTTTAAACGGCATATATCCAAAATGTCCCAGGTTGTAAAATAGGGTGAAAACTCAGGGGAAAATAAGTACCAAAGACTCTCAAGGTTCCTAAAAGTTTAGTTTATGTGAAGTCTCAGGTAACAGGTTAAGTTCCTGCTGGGGTTGGGCAATTGGAGGGATATATCGCCAATTTAATGGTCTAGTAAGGGCTACTGCTTAGCAGGCAGCTGCTCAACTGGCAGGGGCAAAGAGAGACCCTAGGGAAAAAACAGTGTGTAAAGCTGGCTAATTTTCAGATCTTTCTCTATGAATTAAGGGTTTACTTCAGCCAAACCAGAGGTGGTCATTGTTAGAACAGTGGAAAGACTTACTAAAGCGGTTTTGGTGAGTTTTATTTTGCTTCTCTCAAATCAGAATGAAGTGCATTTTGCAGTGTATTAACAAGGCAATTAGGCTAGTATCAGTGAAAGAGAGAAACTTGAAATTAGAAGGCATACAGTACAGGAACAGGATGGAAAGACAAAACTGCAATATATTGGAAACTGTCAGGTGTTGGGCTGATGGTAGCTGGTTAGAAAATTCTAACATATCACCCAACCCTAGTTCCTTTAGTGGAAAAGGGCCATCAGTGGCCTAAAGATACAGAGGAATCACATCTTCACGAAACCTATTAACCACACTGTGGAGGTCTGAAATAAAAGGCTATCAGACAGTGTCTCCTGACAGACGCTATATGCCAGCAACCACCTTCCCAGCAAGAAATGAAAGGCATGGAATGCTTCAAAGTCCAGTTAACAAATGGACTAGGTGAGCTTGCCACTGTCCTGCGTGTTGGGACACAGTCAGTGCTCCAGCAGATGCCACACATGACACCCTCTCACATTTCATGATCATATGGGTGGCCTCATTGACTGCATTGATTCTGAAGGATTATCCGGGCTAGGGCCATTACACTGAACGCAGGCTGGCTCCTTCCAGTCTGTTGCTGCACTAGATAATCCTGGCTTCTTCATCAGTAATATCATTAGAGCATCATCTCTGCATGTTATTTCTGGGTTATTACCTGCAGGAGAGCAAGTACTATGGCTAACACGGGCCATCTTTCACCTTCCCTGCTGGGAAACACAGCCTTGTTGACAAATAAAGCCTTCCACTGACTGGGGAAAAGGAGAACATGCTTTGAGCAGCATCGACGCACCCACATTCAAAGCTCATTGAAATGGATACATGGCAGAATCGCGAGTGACATTTCAGGGAATATTCCAGACGTGACAATGCTGAAAACAAACCTAAACTCATCACAGCACATTTGTCTTTCTTCTGGAAAGCAAAGTGAGATTATGGTCTTTGTTTGTAATTACTCAATTGATGCCTTGGCTCTCAATGATTAAACTGTTCAAAAATAGAATATCAGTGGCTTTCCTGTAGAAATAGAGCAATGACGAGCTGGTGCTTTATGTTAATTGAGGAGTGCCTAATGCAGTCGTTAACATGCGTAGCGGCAGACATCGCAAACCTTAATTCTTTTTCACTACTTCCTCTTGGGCTGGCTTGGATGACATCTCTGCATTTTTCAATTGATGAGCTGCTCAGTCAGTCTTGGAGGAGAAGCACATTTACTTCAAGCACGGCAACTTTAGCCTATATGCCACCTCTAGCAATTCAACAAGCACCTGACAAACTGAACTTAAGGGGGGGAAAAGGGCATCAACTGTGATGCTCTGAAGCTAAAAGTGGTTGATGGTTTGACAGTTCAGAGGTTACACTGTCACCAAATTCACTTTATTTCCTGTGTTGATTTCACTCATGGGAACCAGGGAGAAGTTGCTGCAACATGTGACCAAGAGGACGAAACATTGTTGTTTAGCAAGCCTGCTGCCAGCAGAAAATCAGTTTTCCCCTCCTAGTTCCAGGTCTGTCGTAATAACTGTAGTATTACTATGCTGCGCTTTTCTCGATTTTTTCATGGGGGCGTGGCATTTTTACACTATACTAATAATGCCGCAGCACGGCAAGGCGCTGAGGGTCTATTCTGCGCTGAGAGCTGCTTGTTTGATGTTTTTAAGGGTCACCGAGACTTGAAAAATGTTCGAAGTTGGGTAAAACGCTGCAGCTGCTCACCACTGTAACTTTTTACCCATCTGTCCAATGATAGTGGAGGAGGGGTGGGACAAACACCACAAAGACCAACCATTACATCACCAGACAACAACAATAGAGAAGACATAATGCCGCAAACCACTGAACTCTGAAAAAAACGACCACTGACAAGTTTAAAAAAGTGCAATTGAATACTCATTTAAGTTGAAATTCCAAGTCAGAAACTCACGCAGGATCCATCTTTGTAGCCAAATTTTGTCAACATAAACACAACTGACTTAACAGCAACATGGCGGCACACACAGTCAGCCAAGCAGAATGATCTTTTCATCAATTATTTGACTTTATGTTGTGTTTTATGTAGTGTTTGTGTTGAGAAATGTGCAGTAAAAACATTGTATCTAGGTTAGGATTGATTTGTGCTCTATAGAAGTCTCTGCAAGCATGCGACTCTCCAGCCCTTTTTAGATAGGAATTGTGCAAATTTACAGGAAAGCCCAATCAGTCTTTTTTTCAGCATTGGCAGTATAAAAACAAAATCAGGGAGGGCGGAAAATTGCCGCCTACCTACTTTTGTTTATACAGAATGCGCCTTTTTCGGGGCAATGGGGGGGCGTGAGCAAGTAACAAAACCTGTAGCTCAGCGTGTGACAGTTATGTGGGAGGGAAGCAGCAGCTAGTCAGACGGTGATTCTCTCGTAAATCGGCTCGTTCCTCACCGTCCCCGCCATCTGATGGTTAATGGCCTCTTCATTTGCGAGGACAAGGAGGGTGCGCAATGCCTCGTCTCCCCAGTTGCTCATCTTGACAGTGTCTGTCAGGCTTGCGTTTCCCTCTTGCTACTAGCTGCTCGCTAATTCCTTTTATCAGCTGTTTCCTGTTTATCCACCGCCAGTGGCTCGCACATGCGGCGTCATGAACAGCCCCTCCTGTTGCCAAAGGCTGCCTCTGTCTATTTAAACTAAAAGGGTTTCGCCAATATGACTACCCTACGAGAAGCACTGGGACGTAAAAGACGGGAATACCGACTTGAGATGATCGACTTCTAACTTGCAATAGGTTGCAGGGTAAATAATGAACCCACACAGACCGGTAGATCCATCCTCTCCCCCTACATGCTTCAGTCGTCCCTTCCTCCAAAGCAAGTAGGTCCTCTACCTTGTGCCAACATTTTTATTTCCATGGATATTCTGTATCATAGCAACCAGACAATATCAAAGCATCTCAGCTAAAAACACAACGTGCCCCTTACGCGCATCATTGTCCTTAATAGGTTCTGCATTTAACAATGAACAAGTATTCAAGTGCATATCAAAGTCTGTTAAACCATCCTCAATCACTGAAGGGGCCATTTCTTCACCACGACAGCACTACTTAGTTATATCACGTCAGACCTACGTGTGTAAACTCACAAGGCCATGCAGGTACCATTGCAAGAGCCATATCACATTTAAACCTGTCCCAATGCAACCACGGCCCTGTTTCATGTCATCATCCCTTTGAACAGCGGAGGCAAACACTGGGAATGATATTTGAACTTTTGAAAAAGATCTTATCCAACAACACTAGGTAATCAAACTACTGAGAACGCTTAGCCTCTAAAGCATGTACAGCACACACAAACACAAATCGTTCAAGCAGAAAGCTGGAAGAGATAAAACTATAAAACTATGAAATATTGTCAAATGTTTGATGCCAACCTTGTGGTGTAACCCTCCGCCTGTGCCGCGCTTTAAATGTAAACTTAACATACTCTATCCCTGGAATCCTACGTTCACAAAATCCAGGTTGAATTGAGCGTTTTTAAAGTATCGTTACGTGTTTAACTTTGACAGCCCATAAATATTTTCGCTGCTCATATGTCAGCCTGATCTGCCTCAATTAGAGGGGTTGTAGCAATGAGTCATTCATCAACACCGTCCCCTATCAGATGCTGGGGTTGAATGTTTACTCATTCACTGGCAGTGATGATATTCTGATATTCTGTCAGATCCCTGGCCAACAGTGTGGCAGCGCAGGTGGTGCTGCTACTCTGGGGATGAGCCCATCTGAATAGAAACTGTCACACAAAAGAGAGGAATTGTCTCGTGTCTGTATCAATAAGAGGATCATACACTCCTCGGAGATTAAGTGATTGAGAGACGATGACGACTACGTGCGGTAAGAAAAGTCTTGTTTTTGATCAGCTCACGTAACATGGACCTTTCACATGGCTTCAGATGGCAGAGGTCTACGGCCTCCTCTCTGCGCAGCAGCAGGGCCTGTGCAAATGTAGTGAAAAGATAAAAACGACTGAGAATGCAGTACTTTCCTCTGGCTCAGAGGGCGTGAGTAATACCCCAGTTAGAATTTAGAGCAGGGAATCGCATGCTGACAAAAGCAGCATATGTTGTGTGAGTCAGTTCTGCGCTAAAGCTGAGAAAGGGGGGGGAGTTTTAGTCCCTACCTTCCAGCTTTCTTCCTTTCCCCACCTTATTCCCCATCTGGCCTTTCCACATCAACCCCACTCATCTTCTCTTTCACTCACCCTCTCCCTCAAACTCCCCACTTCAACCTCCCCCTGTGAGTGTTTTCATCGCAACAAGGCAGTTATACCTTCCTTCCAATGGCACCACTCGGTTTATTGGGTGGGGGTGGCTCAAAGATCCTCTGCTGTTGCTGTGGAGGAAGTGTGGAGTACAGTGGGATGATCTTGATATCGCCGACGTCAGGCCCCAGGTCGTCGACCTCCCGCTTGATTCGCTTGCAAGCTTCATCAATTTCCTGAAAGACAGAAGTGCAACAATTAATCCAGGCGTCACCTGTGTGTGTAAACAGCGAAATCAAACAGGTTCGGAACAACACCTGGATGAACAATGGCGGCGAGTCTGGATGATAGGGGAAGGCGAGGGGGAGGCGGCCGGGGAAACCGTGGTTCCCTGCTACAGTACATTTGTTCTAACTATCGCTCCATCTGACGGAGGAAATTAAACCTGGACTGCAGTATGCTTTGCCGAGCTCCCTGTGGCTCTGTTGTCAAATGCAGCAATCATGGAAAACATGGACGCGTGTGCTCCGGAGGCGCGCGCGCGCACACACACACACACACACACACACACACACACACACACACACACACACACAGAGCCAGACAGACTCAAACAGGGTTCATTATTCCACAGTGCAGTATTGTAGAGGGGAATGTGAGATGAGACTGCAGCACTGATGCATAACCAGCGGCAAATCATGGCAGATCAGTTTAGTGAAGCTGAACGTTCTAGAGCCGGTGGGCTGGCAGACAGACAGAGGACCTGAGCAGCGCCAGGAATAAGAAAGCATGATAGTGAGCACGGGGCTCGGGCCCTTTCTCTAAAAACCTATTAGAACACACTATTAAATGTACTAAATATGCCTACATATTTCACAGGCACCCCCTGCTTATAACTCATTAACATAGAAAAACTTGTTTTATGTTACCTCCCCGTATACACATGTTTAATCATCGCACTTGAAGGTTTTAAGTACTTTCTGGTATGGCCTAAAACAACACATAACAGCTTTTCATTTTCCAAGCAGCTCCCGCTGTTAAGAACCATTTTCTTTGTTTTGCTAACAACAATCATTTAATCCTCATGAAGCAGCAGTTACTATATGCGTCATGTTACAGCCTATACTGTTGCACCACCTGCAGGCCCATGGGAGCAATGCAGCAACTTTTCAAAGAGGGGAGTCATGAGGCAATGATGAACTCTGAGTCCCAAAATTATCTTACTGACGCTTATAGACAGACATTGTCAGAGCTTTTTATGCGTACTTATTTAGAAGGTGAACAAAACAACCCGCAATATCTCTCAGACGTCTTTGTTTCCTTTTATAAAAACACCCTGTGCTTAAATTAGTTTACGCATGACTGAAGCTGACTTTATTTGTGTCACTGTGTGAAGCCAGTAACACTTGCCTTGACATGAGAAAGCACCGCGGCGATGTTTCCTGTTTTCCTTCTGGACTGCAAGAGTGTTATTAGCCCTGTTGTCCCCTTGTTCATCGCATTAAGTCAAACCCCGCTGATGGCCATGTGCCTCTTAATCAACACACTGACAAGTGGAAAACGGTAAATCTGAATGGATTGGTAAAATTAGCCCGGGTATTAATAGCCTATCAAGCCTCTGGATGCAGCAGCTGCCATGGAGGAAAAAAAATGGATCTCTTTGCCAAAGCGCTGGAAGCAAGCTGGCTGTCTGTCCCTTAGGGACATCAAGACAGAGTGTGTGTGTGTGTGTGTGTGTGTACACACACACACACACACACACACACACACACACAGGGGCAGTTGGCCAGCGTTGGGAACCTGTCCACCAGCTCTCCCTGCGACCCCAGAAGCAACAATCTACAGCCAAGCTAATAACCGACACATTTAGGCACTCCTCTTGACGAGCAACAACCCCCCGCCAATCCCCATGTTTTGATGTTAGCTGCTGAGGGGGAAGCTTAAATATTAGGACTTATCTTTGCTCAACAGCTGTGATAAGTTTCGACTTACTTGTTTGGAGCTGGTGCTTCAGTTCTATTTGTTTGTGGAAGCTAAATATCTCACAGAGAAACTGCAGAGGAGAGAGGACGAGAGTCCTGTGCATTTTTGCTTTCGTCTGTTATAAATTAAACAGTCAGATAAAAAGAGTCTTTGGCTTTGCCATGGATCTGCCTTCCAATCATTAGTCTACATCAAAGTTGCTGGGAGACTGAAGAGGTTAAGAAGCGCTCGAGGAGCGTGCTGCAGCACCCTTTGAACACCCGTCTCTGCCAGACCTACCACACATTAACTTCTTTAACCCAATTAGGAGGGGGTGATAATGAACTCACCGTGGGAGTGCTCTCAGTAATGCCTTAGCTTGATACAGTACGGGGGGGGGGGATAAATCAACAAATTACATCTAACTGCATGAAAAATGTTGCCTGCGAATATCCCAGACTTTTCTACACATTCGCAAGAGTGACTATCGGTGTTTCTAGCCATCCGAGCAGCTGGGATACCACTAAATCTAAAATCAATTACCAGCCCTCTAAGGAGACCACTTCAAACACCATGCCCTCCGATGACTTCATCCCCTTCGTAACAAGCCGCATATTGATCCTGCTTTGGCAAATGAAAACTGACGTAGGTTTACTGCCACAGTCAAGCTGATGTTGAGTGACAAATAATTACTGCTAATAAACAACCCATCACAAGATGTGATTGGGGAAGCCAAAAAGACACATGAGAGTTTTTAAAGATGAAAAATTAGTGTAACAAAAATGGAAATATTGAATGATTTAAGCCCGAAATGTCATTTAAATCTCCAGAGCAATTTATGCTGTGTTCACACCAGTTACATTCTCCTTTACGACTACAAGTAATCACATGGTCTCCAACACCATTTTGTCAGAGTGCTGAGAGAATAATCATACCAGCACAGGCAGTGTTGGCTCCGACAGGCTTCTCCTGTCCAATGATCAGGACATTGAAGCATTTGTTGGTGCTTTCCTCTGTGTGTGTGTGTGTGTGTGTGTGTGTGTGTGTGTGTGTGTGTGTTCACCCTGCTGTGACCAAATTCATCATTTTGGGCATGAACCCTGCCCTCCATTACACATCAGTGGACAACATTTGCAGGGAGGGAAAAAAATAATAAATGACTTAATTTCAGAGATTTGTAGGAAGGGCAGAATCTGGGTCACTCCTCGTTTTTTTCTCCCCCCTTCTGAGCAGATCCTGGTGGTTCCCAAACAGGCACAATCACGCGCATTAACATCTATCAAACTGAGGATTAATCATTTCCTGCGCAGAGGGTTCACCAGTGTGTGCTCATGACACTGTGTATGTGAGTAACTCATCTATGTAATTACATTAATATGCACACTCTTAACTGTGGAGATGCGTAAAATCTTTGCACCAGTTTATAACCTTGTTATAAACCTCTATGGACGTGCTTTTTAGGCTGAAGCCCACTGAGAAATGTCGTGTGTAGGTCCTCTATGTGTACATAAAGATGTGTGTGTATAAATGTGGATGTGCCTGAGGTCTTCCATGTAGATATGGTGCGGTGTGTAATGTATTCATGTACTTGTGTAAAGCTTTATACAGTCTGTGGCAACAAATTTCCTTTTAAAGGACAATAAAGAATTAATTTTCACTATTTTATTCACTTGTTGCTTTAGTTTTAAGTCTTAACATAGATTTGACGCTATTTCTCCCTTGCAAGGACCTGCAACTATCCATTCTTTTAGTAGTCAAGTATTCTATCGATTAATCGAGTAATCAGACAAGAAATACTGCGTTTTCATTTAATTACTTTGGCTTTATTTAAGGACAATAGTAATATATAAAAGAGAAAATAAGAAAAGTCTCTGAAATGAGCAACAAATTTGTTTCCTTTTTTGAAAGTCAGAGCAGTCAACTATCACGCAATCAGCGTGAGAGTCACACAAATGACCGACGCTATGTCACTATTTCTCATGCTGTCAAAAATAATCAGTGTCGGGGCAGTAACGTCACCACAGGTAGCGATGTTACAAATTTAACAACATTCTCAGTAGCGTGGTGGTAACATCACTACCTTCTGAGTCAGTTAATTAATTGGCGGAGTAGCGCAGCAGCGTCCATAAAAGTTACAAGCTCTTTTTCCCCGGTAAGGATAGTAGAACTGAGAATAAGTAATGTGACGCCAGCACCACACTGAGGCATGTTGAGGACAGAGATGCCACCCGTCCCATATAATACGGAATCGTCCCATACTGAAAAATAAAATGCACCATCCTTTACTGAGTCAATGCGGGACGCAGTTTGTCCTGTATTTCTCTGCTCACAATACTCAACTGCATAAACTGTTTTTGACATACTGGGAATGAAATATTAAACCAAAAGAGTTTCACAAGACATAGCGGAGAAATATTAAATCAGGATTTGTGGACTCATTAGAACTGAAAGCTACAAATATGGCAGAGAAGAAGTGCAGTTTTACAGACTGTCTCAAACTGACAAAACAGCTGTCATTACGCGCGACCATTACGCACGGCTGTGGCTATTGATAGTGACCGTGCCACTAATTCATCACATGTAGGTCTACCTGCAAACCATCATTGCAGTGATATTTCAGTCTTCATTACAGAAAGTCAGACAGATTATTGACAAATAATTTATAGCGCTACAGCGGAAGTAACGTTAGTGGGTTGGATTTAACAAAGCCTCGAGGCAAATACTTTGCTGAGTAATCGAATTATTAGAGTTACTTGAGGAATTTTTTATTTTTATATCTTGTCTGTGCCATTTTAATCTTGCTCTGTGAAGGTATGAAAGGTGCTATTGAAATAAAGTTGAAAGTCTAGTTAAAATCACTACTTTTCCAAGGACAGTGTGCTGGAGTTTTTCTAAAAGTTGAGCATAAATAACTGTATGAAAAATCTTTCAATTCAAGTAATCATGAAACCAGAAATGTTTCGTACCTCTTGTCCAGTGAGGAAAAGCAGAATGTCCCCCTCGTCCCCCTCACACATGTGGATCTGGATCACGGTGCGGATGGCTGCTTCCAGGTAGTCCCGCTCAGGCTCGGGCGTGTAAAAAATCTCCACAGGGTGCGTGCGTCCGGGGATGGTGAGCAGCGGGCAGTGGTCAAAGTACACCTGGAACTTGCCGGCATCTAGCGTGGCGCTCATGACGATGACCTGGACAGAAGGGCGCAGGTATAGGAGATAGAAGTCTGTGAGGAACAATGTATTCATAGAAGAGGTGAAAGCAAAGATAAAAGTAAAGACAGCAGAGTGTAAATGACTGTGGTGATTACAGGAGTGAGCACTCAAGTGTAGAATGAGTTAACATTTTATATGGCTTGGTGATAATAGAGGATAAGGACACATACTAAGTGGATGAGGGTGCAACCAAATACAGGGCAGATTAAAAGTGCAAAAAGCTATACAGGATGGGTAATGCTTTGAATCAGAATTTAGGATGAGGGCGCTGGCACCAACCCAAGATGGTGTCTATAGTGTAGAACTTGGCACTACACTCCAAGTCACTGACCTACACAGAGCTATGACAGTCCTTGTTGCTGATGTTGGGTACACAATGTTCTCTCCAGAGCCATTAGAAAGAGCGCATTAGGATTCTGATGGGAAACACGTCTCCCATTTTCAATCTCAAACATTTTCAGGGGCCAGTGTCTCGGCATTTCGCTTTACGCTCTGCGAGACATCATAATTGCTCTTAATCAAGGCAAATTAAACTTTCAAATTTGGTGGGGGATAGGGATGAAGGAGATAGAGGGGTGTGGGTGGATGATCATTCCCAATAACCTAGACCTCATTTAACAGTCCGCGAACAACAATCTAACCTTTGATTCCACACTGACAAACAACTAGTCATTATCCATCTGCTTTATGAGAATTATGTCTGGCACAGTCTGCCTATAAAACTTCTGCCTGCCTGTATGCTCCCATCCACACCGACACATTGCTGTTCTCCCACCCCCCCCACCCCCCCACCCCCCCCCACCCCCACCGGTTGATTGGCTTAAAATGGGGCTGACTCTAGGTGCAATCTCGGCTAGTGCTGTGGTGCAGAATGGATGTGCATTTCTGAGCCCAACAGCAACGTTTCTCTTTCCTCAACAGATACACAGCTGTCAGACATGGGGACACTGTCAGGAGAAATGTGACAAAAGAGAGGAGTGACAGAGGAGGGATGTAAACACTGGCTGTCACTGAATATATCCTGCAGGAGGCAATATTTAGGGCTTTAACGGTGTTTTGAAGGCATTAAGTGGGACATATTTGTGGAAACAAATCAGACTACTGTCAAGAGTACTTACAACACCAAGCCTTGAGATAAGACAAAATAAATGTGAGACTTGATTTCCCAGAATAAACAGTAAATGTAGGTGCTGAATAAAGAGACATATTAAGATTCAGGAACTTGCACTGCCTTTAAAATGAGTCCCCCTGCTATCAGAGGACTGCAATCTCTAATCGTGACGCTTTAAAAGAAAGAAATTGTGTTCAGAAATACACAAAACAAACTCATTTTATTTTTACCTTGAGGTCAGCCCTCTGGCGGACCACCTCCTTGAGGACCCCCATGAGGATATCTGTGGCTAATGTGCGTTCGTGTGCCTCGTCCAAGATGATGACACCGTAGCGCTCGAGCAGGGGATCATTCATGGCCTCCCGCAGCAACATTCCATCTGTCATGTACCTGGGTGAATAGAGAGGAGATGCAGGCTTTATCAGTATTATCTGAATAAAAACCCTGCTTAAAATTAATTAGCCCAGCATTCCCCTACAGACAAATCTCTCCCTTCAAAGTGCTGTGGACGGAACATCCATCAAGACAGATTTGAAGAAATACAAACTTATTCGTCAATGCCAGTCGGTCCAGCATCGGCCAATTTTATCATCTACATCTATGAACTGAAAACTTTAGTTTGCTTTACTCAAGGAAATTAAAGGGCAGAAACTATGACTATAGATTAACTCCTGTTAAACTAAAAGACCCCTACTATAATCTACTTAAAGCTGTAGGTATTACATTGGTACACCAAAGAGAATATTTTAACCGGCCTTACTTGAGTACCGTCTTGGCAGAGCTGCAGTCCTCAAACCTGATGGAGTAGCCCACCTCTTGGCCCAGCATGACATCCATTTCATCAGCAACCCTCTGGGCAACGCTCATGGCTGCTACCCTCCTGGGCTGGGTGCAGGCCACGGCTCTCTTTGGTCCCGGCACTGACCGCACCATGTCCACACACCACTGAGGGATCTGGAAGACAGCAGACGAGTCAGGCTGCATTTGAGCCAAAGAGTATAAAAGACATCAAAAGGATTCTTTAAATGGAAAAAGCAAACTAAAGAGATGAATGTGAGGCAGATGATAGCGGACGATGAGCCAAATTAGTTCATGAACAAATGTTCTACAGAAATTAAAGATTACATGCTACTACTTGGAAATGCATTACTACAGTTTGCTGTTCTGCAAAGCCTATGAAAGTCATACCTGTCAACATTTACGGTATACAGAAGCAGCTTGCAAGGAGAAGCCCAACAAAAGGAGTCTTACTTCCACTCTGTTAAGCTTGAGGTTCAGATGACTGCCCTTTAGAGATGATTCAAGTCTTACCAGTCTTTGAAATGTCACCCAATAAGAAGAAATGACAGGTTTGAATGAGATAAACATTTCAGGGACACTATTAAAATATGTCATTAATACTTAGAGGGGGAGACATTAACCATCAGTATTTGTTGGTCCCTTTATGCTACCACATTTGTACACGACAATAATTTAAGCTGCATTTACATAAAGAAAAAGTCAATTCAGCATGGCTTTTGTTTTAAAACATGTTTTTCTTGACAACTGTGAGGAAGACATTTTGCCAAAATATAACAGTAAAAATTCTCTCTTTAAGGGTACCTACTATACTTTTCCTCATGTTCTGTCATGTATATGATGTTACAATGTCGGATGTTCTTATTAAACCTGCCAATCTTCAAATAATGTGGTAAAGGAACGCAAACTTAGGCCGTGTTTACACAAAAACGATCCGCTGAAAACCAAATCGTTTCTCATTTTGAAAAAAGTTCCGCTTTCAGATGACAACATTTTGATAACAATCGCAGTGCACACAGATCCGCAAAAATGACCAAAAACACTTTGGCACAATCGCTTCCTTCAACAGAGCAGTAATGACAATCAAAATGGCAACCCCATGAACATTTGTCTGGACAGATTACGAGGTGGAGTTGCTACATTCAACCTACACTTTGCTGGAGAAGCGTTGATAAATTCAATAGGAAGCGCAGCACAAACAGAGCTCGGGAGTCCGCCATTGTTGTTGTGATGGTTGACTTTCTCGTGCATGCCTGGTGACTGGAACCATAATGCGCATGTGCGAAAAGTCTCCCTTTTTTCAAAGGAACTGCATATTGCAAGTTTACATGACAACGGAGACAGTGCTGTTTCCAAAAAATTGCACTCTGGAAAGCGTTTTCAAGCACTCAAAATGTCGCTGTCGACTAATAACCTGGAAATCCAGATGTCCCGTCCCTAGCAAATTCGAATTTGCACTGCATGAGAATCTGGCCCCGACGAGCAGAGCCTGCTGAATCACCAATCGGACCAATCAGATCAGTCTATCTGACAGAGGCGGGCTCTGGACAGGCGTAACAGGATGACGACAGTGCTGCGCCGTAGGAGTCCAAAAGTAAACAGCCAAGATGGCAGCTGCCGAAGGGACCACGTCCATTCAATTTAGCTTTGGAGGAAACGCTAAGCCAACTACTTAATTTTTTCCTTGAGAGAGGAGCAGAAGACTGCCCTAGAAGCTGTCATTTCCAGGAAGGACATTTTTGCTGTTTTGCCGACGGGACACGGCAAAAGCATAATATATCAGTTAGCCCCACTGTTCGGCAAACCAATGGGGCTTAATGCAATGAATACATCACCTTGTTTTTTGCTCTGATTGGCCTTCGTGCTATCCAATTGCGTGCGGCGACATTTGAAATGCCTCAGTTAGTGCCACCCCTTGGGTAAGTAGGGCATATCAGTGAGGACCAGACTCAAATTCTTTCTAGATTTGAGTCTGGATTTCCAGGCTAGTCGTGAAAACGATCAGGCAAAACGCAACTAAGTTTACCGTTTTCAGTTGAAATCATTGTCGTATACAATAAAATAAACTCAGGCTTCACACCGTTCTGAATACTCTGTTTCTTACTGTTTTCCATTTTTCGCGACAAGCAAACAAAAAACTGTTTAGTTTTTTGTTTGTTTGTTTTACCAGCAAACTGGTGGAGCAAACTGAAAGGAGGTGGCGAGCGTCAGACACGAATGAAGCCAGTGTTCTCAGTGTAGTCATTGACTCGCGCTTCAAGCAATTAAATTGACTGTCTGACAAAGAAAAGCAACATGAGACAAATTTCAGATGGTTATCTGTGGCTGGCAACTGTAGTGAGGCACTTGCTTTTGAACTAGTGGTGAGGCCCAACCTGCAGCGTTCTGAGTTAGTAATAACTCAAAAACATTGCTTACAATAGTCTACCTTCCACCTTCTCTTCCCTTTCTCTATCACTCTCTCATACAAACACGCAGGGGTTCCAAGTCCTACTAAACTTGGCTCAGGTATGGGTGGTTCATTTGTGTATATGAAAATGACTGATTACTATTGAAACCCCCTAGGTCCCGTTGTGGCATGTCAAAGCTCTGAATATTTTCGTGAGTAATTATCACTGAAGCTTTGAAGCACCTAAGATGTTATTGAGGACAGCCCTAGAAACATGTAATCTTGGTTGATGGTGTAAATTTCTCCCAAGTTTCGGATCATATTCCTTCTGAAACATGTCTGGCTGTAAAGATTTTGGTCCAGAAGTTTTACTGATTATTTTTCATGATAGATAGTGCCACTATACTCCGCTACAGTCATTCCCTGGCTGCAATGATGGCACAGACATGCCAAGATATAGAAGACCTGGGAACGCTGACCAATCAGAGCAAATGGGGCTTTTTTAGAGGGGGTTTAAATAAGCAGGTGCTAAAATAAAACATTTAAGACAGAGGGTGAATATAGGTATATTCAGGCAGATAGTATGAGAAAAATAAAATGTTTTTTGAACATTAAAGTATAAAAGAAGGAGTGCCATTAATTATTAAACTTAACATCGTTGATTATTATTTTTATTTCAAGAGCAATGATCACAGATGGCTACCCTTAAAGCTCCATAAATGTACCCCCTACCTTGGTAAGCATGTTCTAGACATGACCGCAGACTAAACATTCTTTGAAAGTCTATACGGAAATTCCCGACGACTGTATTGAATACAAATGTTTTTGAGCATCATCAAGGCGTAACGCACTGACAAGATTACACCACTTAATTTAAGAAGTGTTTGGAAGATGGTTTATATTCCCCTCAGGAGGGGGTTAAGGCTCAACCAGTGATTTACTCTAATCTTCTCTCTTTCACATTTTAAAAACAGACAACCCAGCTCTTTAAAGAACTTTAAATAAACTTAACGACCACACGCTGTGAATCAGCTCCACGGAGAAACTTTTTAAAATGCAACATCTGTTCATTCATTGCACCCTGTTTTTCTTATTTGTTATTAATATACAAATTATATTAGTAAGTTTCAGTCTGAGACATTATGGTCAATTTAACATGAAAGCTGATTTTAGGGGCAACAGACAACACTAGTGCATCTTTATGAGCTGGTATTGCAAAAACACTCTGCCTTTTACCTGTGTGGTTTTCCCAGAGCCCGTTTCTCCCACCAGCACAAAAGACTGGTTCCGCATCAGGATGTCAGTGAAGCTCTCTCTGTACTCCCACACAGGCAGCTGCAGCCGCTTCTTCAGGATCTCATAGTAACGTGGTGTGTGGGGCAGGTTGGTGAAAGGGTTGATCTGCTGCTGAAAGGGGGTTTGCTTGAGGAAGCTTCCACCGCCTGCAGTTAGGATGGTGGGCACCCCGGATGACTTCACATCTCTGTCCCTGTCACGGTCTCGATCCCGGTCACGGTCCCTGTCCCTCGACCGTTCATCACGCTCTCTGTCTCTATCGCGGTCACGCCTGTGGGAGAAAGATGCATGGAGTTATGATTTCATCAAGAATTGCCACCAAAATCTTAACACATAAACATAACTCCCTCACATGTGCTTGATATGACCAAATCTACATAGAACAGAGAATGCAAAAATGTTAGCCATTGTCAACTTCATTTCTTAAACTGGATAAAAATCTTACTGCACATTCTAATTAAATGTTGCAAAATCACTGCCTTATCGAATGAACAATGGTAAGGTCACAAATACACATTTCTACAATTAACAAGTTTGTTCTCCTATGTAATTAATGACATCAGAACAGAATGTGAGCCATGTACATCCCTATATTAGAAGGAGAAATATGCTGTGCTGCACTGTGGCAACATTATGGCATGTTTCATGTTAGTACTGTAATACCATAAAGCCATTTAGGGATAAATCAAGGCCAGAAACTATGATGTTGTGAGAGTCAACTAGTCATTTCTGTCAGATTCCGCTATAAAGGTTTTGAACTGATCACTTATTTTATGTCAACAAGACAGATCTGTTATTATTAAATGCTTTTACTGCTATTTACTACACACTATTGTCTCTATGTGTCTATGGCAGTTGTGTACAGTGCGACATAAACTAGCTGACAACGAAAGCAAAGCCAAGCTTGACTCGCAGAGAGGTGGGGTACATCATCTAGTTTGAAACCCACCAACACCAAGCAGCTTGTCTGGATTTACGCATCTCTGCCATTCACGTCCTTGACTACGGGAAACCTGCAGAGTGCACATCGGCTCTGGTGTTTGAACATCTGTGATGATGAGAGATATTTCCTGAATTATCGTTCTCATAACACATGCAGTATTAATGTATCCCCTCGGTGTAGATTAACATTCAGCTTGTCGTTCCACTAAGGTCACAGTGATGTGAAATGCAGGTGCAGTGACCCTGAGCCTACTCTCGGTGACTTTGACAACACACACAGGTTCTCTAACTTCTACAGGCCTGTCAGAGCTTGTCCAGAGCTATGTGAACGCTAGGCAGTACTTTAATAAGAACAAGGAAAGCTTTGCTTCCCAGTAAAAGTCGACCGACTCTGTGACATGTCAGTGACATCTGACAGTGCATCTCATTTCCGCTAAGCGGCTAACGTTAGCCCCGGCTCGTTGTCCTCCTGTGTGCCGCTTCCTTTCTTCATATTGTAAACCCCACATGCCATAACAACCAAGAATTCATCATAACATGTCGACTTTGTCTCATGAAATGTCTGTCTTTTCTATTTAACACACGGCGCCTACGCTAGCACTGGCTAGCATGTAGCCACGTGCAGCTATACCAGCTAGCTGTTTGCTAAGTTCGCAACCGTTACACTAGCAACTTTGCTAAACCATTGCACCACCTTAACGTCCAGCAGCACCCCCTGCAACTGTTTATAATGTCAATTAGTGCACCACGATAGTGCATTCCCACGTCCCGCCAGTGCTAACTTACTAGCTAAACTTGCGGGTAGTTAGCCTTAGCATGGGTAGTTAGCAACAGGACAACAACAACAAAACAGCCCGCAGCGACTACAAACACTGCACCAGCGGGACTATTTAGGTTGACGCCAACGTTAACGTTACATACCCGTCACAGGGTTTCCTTTTATCCAGCGAGTAAGCATCACCCAAATCTAAACGATGCCGCTTTAGCATCCTGCCACCGGTATCCGTCCATAAACAGCGGCTTTATCCGCTTATTATGCCATTCAGATTTCCCCCAATCCGTTAAACACCAGTAAAATGGCGACCGGAAGCTCTTACCTCATCGTTATTATCCTTGAGAAAATGTTTCGAGAGCAGCGGTTTACTGTGAGACCAGAGGAGCGCGTTGCATAGAAAAACGTCCCGGCTTTACTGAAGTCTGCACATGATGCTGTCCGTGAACGCCTATCGCAGTGGCTGCAGACACAATGCGGTGGTTTGGGGATGCGGGGGAGGATGCGGGAGGTCTGCTGCCTCTCCGTCGGGTCGGGATGATGATGTGCCCGCCAAGCAGCGCACACACAGGCACTACTACTACTGTTGCCTTGCCCCCCTTCAGCCCAGAGCCTCAGCATCACTGCAGTATGGGCTGCTCTGTGTTGGCACTCAGGCAACCTCTCTAAACATAACATTGCATGAATGATCAGAATAGTGAGCCCAGAATATGAAGTTTCAGCTTTTTATTAAAGGACTCATATGGTGACACTATGGAGGAATTCAGCAGCTACTATATATATATATATATATATGTATATATATATTAGAGAAATAACACACAACCACAAATTCTGCTTTTCTGAGTAAAAATTAGTCAAGTCAAACTTAATTTGTGTTGCAAATTTAAGTGATCTTAGTTCTAAAACAATTACTCTGAATCAGAAAAAATAAATTTAATTATCTCGTAATTATTTTTCTTTAAAAAATAAAAATCTTAAATTAGTATCAAATAGACTTGCAATAAAATATTGCAGATATTCACTTCTAAGGATGCTAAACAATAAAGACATGCAACATCAATCAAACGGCAACATGATATTACACTTTGAGTGATGTTGCTAGTACTGGTCTTTCAGTCAAATCAATTTGCCGCCCCCATTGATTATTATTATTAGTATTTTTACTATTAATATTAATTATTACAAACAAGAACAGGTGCTAATGAGAAATCAATGCAACAAACAACAATGCCATTTTAATTTTCTCTTATTCTAATGCCCTCAACATACACTCCACCATTATCCCTGTTTGATTTTTTAATTTTTATTTATTTTTTTAATGTCCAAAAAATGAGGTTTGTGGGAAAGGGGCAGACAATACAGAAATACCTCTAGATAGTATTTAAATCATGCTTTTCGAGACTTTTACCCTTGCCACATAAAAAAAAAATGTGTTTGCTGAATGCATTTTAAATTTACTCCCAGAATGAACAGGAAGTTTGTCTTGTCTTTACAGGACTCTGCAGACACACACAAACGCTTGCTCCAGTCTGGAAGGTGCAACCAGCAAAAGTGATGCGCATGAAACATTTTTTTACTTCTTCGCTCCGTTAGAAGAGCAAAAAAATCCGTCTTTAAACCTCTACAATTATAAAGTGATGAATAATCTGTCACTGAAGACAATCATTGCCATTGACACAGGTAATTACACAGCCTGGACATTGCTAACAAGCTGCATAATGGCAAATGGCTCATTGCTTATAGCTGGGGGATTGATGGTGATGGTTAAGAAGAAGTCAACGTTACAACAAAGTCATAATTCTCTAATATGCAAGGATAATTTAAAATACTGGGGATTCTCCACCTTTCTGTCTGTCTCACTTTCACAGGCTATTAAATCGCAGTCCAACTGTGTATGAAATAGCTCTGGCAAACACGGCTGCAGAGCTGGCGGTGAGAGCGTGGACACTAATACTGGGAACTAATCATTTAGAATATTGCTACATGAGCTTAAACTACAACCGATAGCTTTCAAGAACCAGGCACAAAATTGGTTAAAAGACGACAGTAACATTCATCTGTCCAGAATAGAAAATATGAACTTGCATCATATGCATCAATATGAGGGGTGTTTTTATTCCCCTGTCAGAGTTTGGATTCACACAGTACTGGCGCATTGGATTACTGAACCAAACAGGCCTAGTTCAGACGGCCCCTGGGCCCATACCTGTTTAATGTGACTGTTAACAGTCACAGGGCTAATTTATAAGTAGAAATGTCTCAGCTTTCTTTTGCTCCTGATCCTGATGACAGTCATTTTCATTAGTCAATATTCAGTAACTGCCAGCAAAATTCAACTGAATATTTGTTTTTGTTCATTTTTCATTCAGCTGCACAGCACACCGAAGCTACAGTAATATTTACTTCAAATACAGCTCTGATTCACCTGCAGAATGTCATTAAAAGGGACACAAAATGACCACAGCGGGATGCCAAACAACTATAGACATAAAACTACTACAATAAAAAATCAGAATTAACAGAAAAAAGATGCAGACGGACAACAAAGAGATGCAAAATGATTATAAAATGACTACAAAGTGATGCAAAACCACACTGGTAGTCATTTTACGCTTCTGTCTCTCAGTCTGCATGTCTTGCTCCCACGTAGGAGGGATGCTCCCATTGAGAGGCAACAATAACACAGTGCTGCTTGTGAAATGAAACGCAGCGCCATACCGCTTGAGGGTTGGCCAGAGATCTACGGACAAGTCCTTTTTAAACAGGTCTCTTCAGATGGTCAAATACAGAGGATGATACTGGTAATGAAGGAGAAGAAGGGTGGGGATGTAGGCCAGATAACTGCCTGTTACTGGAGCGAATGGGACCAGTCCTGCTGCAAAGCTTCTGACAAACAAACTGCAGCCAAGAACCCAGTGAGAATATTTTTTAAAAATCTTGAAATAACAAGACTAATAATACTGTCTTCTTGTGGTAAGTACTTTAGCATCATTTGAAAGGAAATGTTGAACTGCAATGATCTATGAGGCTCTTGAACTTCACAGAATAAATCCTTTCATTAATATCTACTTCTGTGCTCATTGTTGCCTTGGAACAGCTGTGCAATATTACATAATGAGAGGATTCCTGTTTGGAGGAGAGTATAGAAAATACGATTTTAAACTAAGTGAACTCAAGAAAAAGCACTTTGCTATTCTGTAACACTAAACTCCTCCTACAATGATGAATTGCAGTAAGCTGTAATAAAATCTACCAACGTCCTTTTAGCTTTAATCTTGAGAGTTTTCCAACTTTATGTAATTTAATATGAATATCTGGGTATTGAGAACATTTACAATGCAGAACATTTAAGATTCAAACATCAGAATGTGGATTGATTGTTTTCTGTCTCTAAATACTTTGAAATTTGAGGACTACCTCATTATACCAATGCCTAGAATAAGTTGAGCCCAACCCTGATTCTCCTGCTGGGTGGAGAAAGTAGCATCTGCGCTGTTCCCCCATCACTGATATCACTAGGTCCTGTCAGCTCTTATCACACTGGCCCACCATCTCCTATCTTAATAGAGATCTGACTGTATGGTGGGGCTACGTGCTGACCCTCGGCGTGGCCTTTCTGCTTATCGGCCATCCACAAGCTCCTCCAACATCCTGCGACTTTGCTGGCCTTGCTCGCCAGCAGGGCCTTTGGAGCCATGTTGTTGTTGTTGTTGTTGCAGTCAGTTTCAGTATTGCCTCCAGTAAATCTGGAAACTACTGAGGTAGGTCACAGGGGACTAAGAACGATAGGCAGCGGTAGGGCTGCTAGTATTGTGTGATCATGGAGACTTATATAATAATGTGGGGGCTGATAGCAGCTCTAGTGTATCTTAATGACGAAAACTCTGTCTGTGGGTGTGTGTGGGCGGGTGGGTGTGTCTGTTCCACGTTTTTCTCCTCACTGACTTGGTCAATCCATGTGAAATTTGGCACAGTGGTAGAGGGTCATGGGAGGATGCGAATGAAGCAATATTACATCAATTGGCCAAAGGGGGGCGCCATAGCAACCGACTGAAATTGCAAACTTTGAATGGGCATATCTCATGCCTCGTATGTCGTAGAGACATGAAACTTTGCACAGAGATGCCTCTCCTCATGAGGAACACATTTGCCTAAAGAACCCACAACTTCCGGTTATACAGATTTCCGCCATTTTGAATTTTTTGAAAAACACTTAAAATCGACCTGCATGAAACTCAGTGAACATAATCTAGGGACCAATATCTAAAGTTTCCTCTTAGCAAAAGTTGGAAAACTTACTAAAACTGAGCTTCTATAAGGCAATGAATATTGCGGAGGGCGTGGCTCATCACATAAAGGTGTATAACATCTCAAGGGTTTCACCGATCACCACGCAACTTTGTAGGCATATGATCACACATAATCTGAGGGGACCCCTCCATTATTGACCCCATCAAACAAAATGGAGGCGCTAGAGAGTAGGGATGAGCAACACAAGCAAAAACACTATTCGAAAATCGTAGCAACTATTCGACAATTTTTCGAATAATCGCCCCCCGGAGCCACGCACACAGAGATCCATTCATCTTTAAAGGCCCGAACATACTCCGGCGGAGGTCCGCGCGGACTCAAAGCGGACATCCGCAAGCCCTGTGCGCACACACCGGTGACTGCTTGGCATGTATTTTTCACATCGAAGGGATTTTTCACAGACATTTTTACAGAAAACTACAACGTGGAAGTGCGCTCGACTATGAAAGCCCGAATGACTGCGGACATTCCTCACGGAGTAGTAGTCTCTGCATGTTTCTCCTGTTTGTAGAAGAGCATCAAACTAGCTGGTAGCCCATCTCACACCGCTGTAGCAATCCTAGACTGCCCTCATACGGTTAGGAGCTGAATTGCATGTCAAATATAGGGGGAGAAATAAGACGGCGAATAGTAATAGTCGCATTAAAAAATCAATTTTTCAAAAATAAAATGACTATTCGAAATTCGAAAATCGTGACCCATCCCTACTAGAGAGCTAATTTCTTATCCAGGCCTAACCGCCATATCGATTTTTACTAAACTTAGTAGATATGTAGAACAGGATGCCTCAAGGTGACTGGAGGAATTTAACTCTAATTGGCAACTGGGTGGCGCTATAACAGCAGAAAAATACTTAAAAATGGCTAAAATGCGACCAATCGCTGTGGCTCCCCCTGTGGACCAAAGCTTTGTTTTCTTCTAATTTTTGGTATGACTAAGTCATGGTATGGTATGCTGTACTCAATGGGTATGGACTAGTTTACAATATTTTTGTAATTTGAACTTGAAGCTGCATGCCACTTTAATGTTGCTTTAAAGGAATGGTTTGATATTTCAGAGAGTATTACTACTTGCTGGTTTGCCAAGAGTCAGATGAGACAGCTAGCCTGACTCTTTGTCATCACAATGAGGGCTGCCAGGTAGAGAAATACTCCTGCTACCTCTGGGGCTGAAAAGGGAATTGCCAAAAATTGCAGTTCCTCAAATGGCCACTTGAGGCTGGCTCCAAAAGTGAGTCA